AGCCAAAGTGCCATGGAGAACTCATACTCCATTAGCCAGAACAAGTCACATGGCCCCAACCCAACTGCCAGGAAAGCTAGAACATGATAAATGAGCCCATGGACTTTTGGTGAGCACCAATTAACTCCTTGACAAGGGCAGCTTGCAAAATATGTTGTCTGTGAGCTCTTTTTCCCTTAGGACCTCACTGTCCCCCACCCCATTTTTGGCTGGAAATATGTAACTGGGGAAAGTCCAGGAGCTGTACAGTGGGTGTATTAGTCAGAGTATGCTTACATATATCCCAGGATCCCCCAAATCCCACAGGCTTTTCATATTAGAGGTGTCGCTTCCTACTCATACCACAGACCAACCATGCACTCAAGCAGGCAGCCCTCCACATAGTAACCCAGGAAGCCTGCTCCTTCCATCTGGTGGGTTTCCCAAGCATGCATGCAGAGCAAAAGACCCATGGCCACCGTGGACCATTGCATTGGAGAAGCCCTAGGCAGAAAATAAAAGACACACAGTTCGTGCTCAAAGTGAGATGCTCTCAGCAAGAAATGAGCCCCAGCCCAGAGGGAACTATTTGTTCTATCCATTACTGAGATCAGAGGGGGCTGAGAGGATGTAAGGCAGTATGTGAAAGGCATAAGAAACCCCACCTTCTACGACATTGCTCACCTTCAAAGGACCGTGATTAAGCCTAGCTCTAAATCCATGAATCCCGAGTTTTGTGGAACAACCTGACACACGTAGGATTGAGACGCATAAGGAAAAATGGCAGAAGTAGCCCCAGTATTCTTCACAATTTTAAACCAATCCCAAGCCTCCATTCAATTCTCCTTGGACACTGAATGCCCTGTCATTTCATATTTCATGCCCTTGCTATACCAGAAAGTTCTCCCATGCAGCTCCCAGAATTGTTCTCTGCAAGTGTGTGTGTGTGTGTGTGTGTGTGTGTTAGTCACTCAGTCATGTCCAACTCTTTGCAACCCCATGGACTGTAGCCCACGAGGCTCCTCTGTCCATGGGATTCTCCAGGCAAGAATACTGGAGTGGTTTGCCGTTTCCTTCTCTGCAAGTAGGAACCACTTACTGCCTCAGTCATCTCGAGTGGGTACACATGCCAAGGACGCCTATGTCAAGTCCTGACGTCCCTGGGACAAATCCCCACACGTATAAAAGTACGTCCTTTAGCCGGGGTCAACTTCTTCTGGGATAAGACATTTCCGCTTTGGTTTGCACAAAGTCTGCACATTAGATTTTCATTTCCTAGGAGCTTTACTCTCAAGGGAATAATGGGAGGGAAAATGTAAACAAAAAGAAGAAAGGAAAGCCTATTTTCTGATCTTCAGGATACCACCTCCTTTTCACCTCTGAACTCACACCCCAGCTGCTTCCCTGAATGAGTCACTTTGCAGGGCTGGATCAGAGCTCACAGAACGTCCTCAGCCGTCTAGCCAGGAGTCTCCCAGGGGTTTCGATCAATGTGCCCCTTTCCTTAACCACCAGGACCCTTCCCTGCTGGTCCCTGCAGGGTGAGTCTACAAGCAGTACTTCTGCAAACTTTCTGTCGCCCTGCAGGTAACACCACAGCTGCTGCCAGGCGGGGCTCCTGATGGCACCCATCCCATTTCGTGCTTGCAGAACAATTAAATGCTATGCTAGCTTGCTTTAATATTAATAAACAAAGTAAGTTTTATTTATTAATCACATACTACAGACCAGGCACGATAGTATGTTTTGACCTTTCATTTTAATCCTCACCTAAGAGGTATATGGTATTATTATGACAGAATTCTCTTTAAGAACGGGATAATTCAGTGTGAGAACAAGAAAGAAATCACCTAAGGTCACACAGTTAATAAATGTCAGCTTGGACACCCACAATCTTAACCACTGTGCTATTTTGCAAATAGCTCTCAATTTTTGGAATACTAGTGATTAGATCTCAATTTTTGGAAGGCAGATAACATTCCAGGACAAAAGACTATCTGTCACCTGAGAAATGTTAATACAACAGAGCTTGGCTTATACTGAGAGTTACACCACCTGTCTCTCCACAAACAAAACTACATAACAAAATAAAATGGGGTTACTGTAAAGAGTTCATGAAAATTTGAGCAGTTTAATCCTTGGGAAAACCCCAAAGGGGCCCATCTGGTTTTGAAATGCAAAATTGCCCAAGCTGAGTCTCTGTGGAAAACGTTTAGACAAGATACACAATTGTGCTCAGACACTCGGTTGTGTCTGACCGTTTGTGACCCCATGGACTGTAGCCCGCCAGGCTCCCCTGTCCCTGGGATTTCTCAGGCAAGGATACTGGAGTGGGTTCCAGGGGATCTTCCCGACTTGGGGATCAAGCACCCATCTCCTGTGTTGGCCGGAGGACTCTTTACCCCTAACTCCACCTGAGAAGCTCACTCTACACAATAAAATATCAAGAAAATTTGGGGTTGTCAGCCAGGGCTACAAAAGGGAAATGGACTCCAGAAGAAAGAGGAGGGGGGTGGCCAGTGGGGGTATGCACATGTGGACAGAGCCTGCTGATGGAGAAACTCTCTCGTGAGAGTGCTGGGAAAACTTACAGAGAGAGCGACATCATTTGAAGTCCTTTTCTACATTTGCTATATTTATCCTCAAACTTCACAAACATCTGTTAGTCAAAATAGCCTCATATCAGCACGGTTTTGGAGAAGAAATGGAAGGGTGGGTAGAAGTGACCCAACAGCAAAATGAATGCTGTTCCCAGCAATGATGAGATGACAAGTTTCAGCAGCAAACCCGCCTGAACCGTGGAATAATTCTGTGTGTGTCCCAAATCCAGGAGACCCTTGGAAGGGACAGAGAGAACTAGATGCTATCAGCAGATAGAACAGAGGGTGTGATACAATAAGAAATAAGTAGATTTGTTCTTTGTCCCCAATTCTTGGCACCTAAAACCCTTGGAATCTCCAAAGTGATGAGTGTCTTTTGTGCATTGAGCTGACTGGAGGCTGGGGGCCACTGCATAGCTTTGGGTCGGGGGCTGGTTTCCAGAAAGACCAAGGCATGGAACTTGCAGCCCCACCCTCTGGTCTCCAGAGAAGGGAGCAGGGCTAGAGGTTGAGAAAAATCAACAGTGGCCAATGAATTCATCAATCATGCTTAAGTAATAAAATCTCCATAAAAACCCTTAAATGACAGAATTCAGACAGGATCTGGGTTGGTGAACATAGCCACTTATTTAGTCAGAAGTACATTCGTCCCCTGGTATCCACAGGGGACTGGTTCTGAAACCTCTGTGGCTAACCAGATCCATGGATGCTCAAGTCCCTTGTATAAAATGGAGCAGTACAAACAAGTGACGACCTGAGACTTGAAATTGGCTTGTGGGACTGAGCTCTGAAATGCATGTTGTCTGACACCAACTTCCCAGAGTTGTTGAACTGAATTCTAAGACATCCAGTTGGTATCTGGAGAGTTGGAGAAAGTGGTTGTTGTGGAAAATATCCCCACCCCCGTGATGTCAGAAATGTGAGTAAAAATGGCTCATAGAGGATAATCCCATTTATTGAATGGGTGACACTGGAAAAATAGAGCATCTTAAGTCAATTGGTTTTCACTGGTTTGTTAAAAATTGGATAAAATACAGACCAGCTTTTATGTCCCATAAAAGCATAGTCACAAATGCTAACCACACATGTAATTTAAAGGCTTTTTTTAGTAGGCATATTTTTTTAAAAAAGAAATACATGAAGTTAACTTTAATAATATATTTCATTTAACTTACTATATCCAAAATTATCATTTCAACATGTAATCAATGTCTAAAAATACAGGAGGTATTTTGTATTCTTTTTTTTTTTGCAGTAAGTCTTTGAAATTCATTTTATATTTTACACTTACAGCTCTTCTCAGTTTGGACCAGCCACATGTGAAATGCACAAATCACTGAAGTTCCTCTGGTCAAGATTTAAAATGGAACTTTTTAATAATTTTTTGTGGCAATTTGAATAAAAGATAATATTGTATGCTATAATATTTCCTTTTTGCAGCTTCTTCTCTATTATAAAAGCAATACATGTTCATTTGTAGAAAATCTAAAAAACAAAGTACAAAGAAAAATAAATGCATCTATAAACCCCCTTTCAGAAATAATCATTGTTAAATATTTTAATACATGTGCTTCTAGAATAACATATATATATTACTCTTTATATATACTCAGCACTTCAACCTAATTCACTTCTTCCCAACATTACCATAAGAGTTATTTCTTTAATCTCCCTGAGTCCAGTCTCCTCCATTCCAATCCATCTTGACTACTGATGCAAAACTAATCTTCCAAAAATGCTATTTTCCAGCTATTGAGGGAAGGCAGGTAAAATGAGAGCTTGCATAGCCAGGTGTGACTGACTCATTCTAACAGAAACATACACTCCGGGAAATTTTTGCTTCTAATGGAAATAGAATTGCTCCTCTGTACCTCTTCCTCATCATCTAGCCCATTACGGTGACATAAAGTCTATTGCAAGGTACTTAATAAGATCTCAGAAAGATTTGAGAGTACAATATCTCTAAGAAAGGCAGGAGGCTAATAGCAGCTGAACTCTCTCCCATAAGTGTTACAGCTTCAGGCTATGGCCAAGTATATAGAGCCCAAGAACTACACTCTCAAACTGCAGTGCAGACATCAAGACAAACAGGTCTCACAGGAAAATCAGTAAAGATGTAAGGCGAGACCATACAAGCAAACTGAAGGTCTGGTTAGGGCTGCCTACATTAAGTATGTGTGTGTGAATGCTAAGTCGCTTCAGTCATGTCCGACTCTTTGTCGCCCCATGGACTGTAGCCCATCAGGCTCCTCTGTCCACGGGATTCTTCAGAAAAGAATACTGGAGTGTGTTGCCATTTCCTTCTCCTGGGGATCTTTCAAGCCCAGAGATGGAATCCTGGTCTCCTGCATTGCGGGTGGATTCTTTACCATCTGAACCACCAGGGAAGCCCAACCTTAAAATAACTTCAGGCAGGCTGCTCGAGGAGACAAGTCTCGCTGAGTAAAGACGCCAAAAATGTGAAGTGACTAGCTGGGAGCCAAGACGGAAAACTAGGGAATGGGAGATAAAGTGGCCTCATGAATAGGAATGCCTGCCCAGACACCATTGGAGATGATGGATGAAGATCGGCTAATTGAAGAAGTCTTGGATAAATTTGTTAATTGTCATGAGCAAACATATGAAGAATTTCTGAGAACGTTCACTCATCTTTCAAAAGATAATGTGACCAAAAGAGAAGCCTTTGGAACTAATTCTTCAGAAAACAATTTTACTTCAATAAAATTTACTCAGAGAAATGAACCAAANGTAGCCCCCACCAGGCTCCTTTGTCCCTGGGGATTCTCCAGGCAAGGATACTGGAGTGTATCCTCTCCATGCCCTCCAGGGTATCTTCCTAACCCAGGGATCGAACCCAGGTGGATTCTTTACCAACTGAACCACCAGGGAAGCCAGTAGACAGATAACGAATTTTATTATGATTTTATGTCTTTGCTGTCTTTTCAGAAAGACTGTTGAATGAGCATTCATTCATTCCATTGTTTTTATTAGGTTATTCTCATCAAGGCATTTGGAACTGATGCATATAAATGCTAACTTTTTTATCCAGCCAAGAGTTGTATTATGGAGTCTGAGCTGTTGAATTTGAGAACTAAAAAGGACCTGAGAAATCGTTTAGTATAATCCCTTTGTTTTAGTTTTGAAAAAATGCAAATGCAAAGAGTCCAGGCTTTTAAGAGCATACTGAAAACGTTGAAGAAATCTAGCACCATGTAGGATATGGAGTCACACTGCACACATTTGGATTTTGGCATTGCCACTTTCTGGCTTGAGGGGAAGTCACTTGAGTAAAGGGGGGATATTCATAGTACCATAAAGGTTCATGAAGGCTAAGGGAGATAATCCATGTAAACCTCTTAGCATAGTGGCTAGCTTTAAATGCATAATGAAGGCTCAGTATTGTTATTGTTGTTATTGTGGTGATAATGATACTATGGTTTCTGTAGAATGGAAACCACCCTTTAGATCAGAAGTGATAACCGAAGCCCTCAAGGCCAAACCCGTGCTGTGTTTTTTTGAAATGTGTTTGGTTACCTCATGCAGTATTGTTGTCATTTTGTTGAGCCAACATTTAAAAGTTGGAAATTTTACATAAAAATCTTGATTTTCTATTTTTTCTTTTTTCTGATTAAGTGAGAAGATGGGTTACCTCTTATTTCCCTCATGGCAGTGTCAGCTTGAGTTCCGGAGCCCAGGCCCTGTGACCTCACTAGTGTGATACACTCTCTGGCTCTCACACACCCTAAAACTGTGTGCATATCCTGCCTGCTTCCTTCACGTCCCTGTCTCCTATAGGCATTGAGTTCTGTTTCGACTGCCATTGGCTTGCTCTCAACCTTGGTCCTTTTTGGGTCATGAACCCACATTTGGGAGACTGTCCACTTAGATGCATGATGGACTCAACTCCAGGGCCCTAATGGGGCCTGGGAATATAGACTTTTTAAAAGTTTCTGTGGTGATTCTAATGTGTACCCAAGATTGAAAATAGGGAGTTCCATAATCTCTTAGGTTATGATAATCTCAGGATCCTCAGCTCCATGATTTGAAGCCATAATTCATGTGTCCTTAACAAATGTAAAAGAAGTGAAGTTATAATGAAGAAAAGGAAAAGAGATTCTAACCTGTTTCTTTTATTGTACAAGGTAGTGGGAATATCTATCAGTTTTGTTTACTCTTAAGGGAAATAGAAAATTTAAGAAATACTTTGTTAAGTTGGGTCTGAGAATGATCTATTTTGGTATCATATATAGATCAAATTAATCTTGATAATGGCCAAATCACCATTTGTCTTATGCACGTGGATTTAGGAAGATGCTTGCTTTCTCTGAGCCTAATGATTTAATTCCATGTTTTCCAGACCCAAACATGCATGGTAGTGTGAATGGTTGGGGTAGGCTGTGGAAACAAGGGTAAAACTGGCAGAATTCATGCATTTTGGTATGCCAGTGGCATTTTGATAACCCAGATTATTTTGGAACTTACTTGTGAGGCTGACTTTATTTTTGTACTCTGAAAGTGTAAGAACTTCTTGCAAGGACTTGGATATTTTAAGGAGGTTACACTGTTTTTGTTTTTCCGGGTAAGGAATCTGTTCTGTTTGTAGATTTCTGTGTGCTCATTCCATGCCCAGAGAATCTGTTGCAGATGTGGTGACTTCATTTTGAGTTCAGTTTAGGCCCCAAATTGAGCTGAAATAAATGATGACGCAAGTTACATAAACTGCATCTCCAGGCATACTAGTTTTTTCCCTTTCAAAATATCCTTAGGCCCCAGTTCACATTATAAACTAATGACCTGAAAAAATTCCTCCTACAGCACAAGAGTTGTGAGTGCAAAAATATGTCTCAAATCACTAAGTGTCCTTTCTTCCTCTGAAACATTTAAATACCTCTGATAAACCACATAGGACTTAGGGTCAGGCCTAAGAGTTGAATGATAGCCAACAGAATTGACCACAGTCAATGTAGTTAGTTCTGTTTGAAGGAAGAGATGAAAGCTTTTTCTTCAGAGTTTTCTCCTCCTTTCCAGCCCTTCATTTGTCTTAGTGTATTTGGTTGTCTTGCTAATATGAAGTGGAATCTTGTCTGTGTTAGAGTAGTTATCACCATGTATAAAATGAAGTGAAGTCGCCCAGTTGTGTCCGACTTTTTGCAACCCCATGGACTATAGCCTACCAGGCTCCTCAGTCCATAGGATTTTCCAGGCAAGGATACTAGAATGGGTTGCCATTTTCTTCTCCAGGGGATCTTCCTGACCCAGGGGTCGAACCCAGGTCTCCTGCATTGTAGGCAGACGCTTTAACTTCTGAGCCTCCAGGGAAGCCTCACCGTGTATAGTTACGTACGTTTCTTTAGTTAGTTTCTCAAGTATGCTTTCAATGATTGACTCTTCTATTTATTTTTATAATAGTTATATGCCAGAATGCTTATGAGATTTGTTTTCTTTCCAAGAGTGTTAAAAGGGTCAGTAATCCTATTAAAAATATTTCCCTGGAAAAAATTAAACTAGAGCCTTTTTGAAGAAATTCACATTACTGCTTCAGGTGCTTGGAAAACAGTTGGAAACTGTTAATATTGTAGCATAATTCTCACTCCGGTACATTTATGTTGACTATGTTTTGCAGTTTTTGTTTTTTAAAGCAGCTCTGGTTTTTATAATCATGGTGCATATTTGATGATAAACCCTGTGTTTTACCAAAATCTTTAAAGAGACATGTTGCTTATTAATTTTAAGCAGACATTTATAATTGAATTCTTCAGCTCAAGAAAGTTAAGACCGAGTTTAAGATTTGTATTGGGAAATTAGCATGCAGATTTTGAGTTTGTTTATCAGTGAAGACATTATTATATTTTTGACATTATTATGGATAAAGATAAGAGGTTGACTTTCAATCTTTGGTATTTTAGTTTCTTTGTGAATATAGTTCATTGATACCAGACTGNCTCAGCTTTCTTTATAGTCCAACTCTCACATCCATACATGACTACTGGAAAAACCATAGCCTTGACTAGATGGACCTTTGTTGACAAAGTAATGTCTCTGCTTTTTAATATGCTGTCTATGTTGGTCATAACTTTCCTTCCAAGGAGTGCTTCAGAGTGAATGATTAATTTCCATTAAGGTTGCCAGTTTTACCAATTTCAGCTTAAAGTGTTTTGGAAATTGAAATGAATCTACTGTAATTTTATGATTAACTCTTAAATAAGACTTTTCTTTTCATTCTCTCATTTGATTCTTCAAATAACTAGGATCCAGATTCCCAAGTGATTTTATCAGTTTCTATATTATCATATAATAACAGCTTTCTACTCACTGCCATATTTATATACTTAAACCTGTTAAGATCAAAGATTTTGTTTCTGATTTTGATGTGTAGTTTCCTTTCTTATTTTCTTTATGCCATTCTCATTTCCCTTCCAATACTTCATACTTGTTAATATTTGAATGAAATTCCCCCTTAGGTAGAACATTATGTGTCTGAATGTTCTGGACAAATGGCCATGCCTGTGACTTTATAATCAGGTGGTGGTCTAGTCTTTGATTATCTCAAACTTTTAGTCTCAAAATCTCTAAATATGTTTCAGTTTTTCTTAGGTTCTAATACTCTTAATAAAATCATGAGAGGGTTTGACCTTTCCTTATTAAGCAGCTATCATTTATTAAGTACTAGGTATTATGCTTAGCACTTTATCTGGATCATCTCAAGCTTTGTAATAACCTAGTAAATTTTTTTTTTTACATTGTAATTTAAAATATTTATATTATTCTCCATTTACAGATGAGAAAACCAAGGCTTAAGTTTAAGTAATTTGCTGTTATGGACTAAACTGTGTCCCTTCAACATTTATCTGTTGCAGCCCTAACTGGCAAGGTGACTGGGCCTTTTAAGAAGTAATGAAGACTAAACGAGGCCATAAGGTGGGGTCCTAGTTCAGTATGACTGGTGTCCTCCTGAAAAGAGAGATGTGCCAGGGATGCATGTACACAGAGGAAAGACCACGGGCGGTCACAGCAAGAAGGCAGCCTTTTGTAAGCTAAGGTGAGGGACCTCAGGAGAAAAGCAAACCTGCGCACACCTTGATCTTGCACTTCTAGATTCTAGAAGTGTGGGAAAATAAATTTGTGTTGTTTCACGCCACCTAGTCTGTGATGTTTTGTTATGACAGCCCTAACAGAATTGCCTAAGGTCCTGTAACTATTTAGTGATGGCATTGGAGTATGAGCCTAGTCATCGTAGCTCTAAAGCCCATACCCTGAGCCATTTTGTTTTCTGCCTTCCACGTAGCAAGTAGGCAATTCTCGAGATCTGGGGAGTCCCTGGCATGTGGGTAATGTGAGCCATAGGAATGGATGTGCTTCCTCAAAATACAATTACTCTGTCTTCTCCAGAGTATAAGTTCCATGAGGTCTAGTTGCTTGAGGGTTTTGTTCATTATTATTATTTTTGTGTCTAAAGCAGTGCCTGGTAATATAGAATACATTGAGGCTTACTGAGTATTTGTTGAATAAGTGAAACAAAAAGAAAATAAGAGAACACAGGATGGCAGAAAGATGGACAGGAGGTCCTCAGACCAGACCCTAAAGGACATCCACATGTAATGGCTAGGAGCAGAAAGAAGAGCCTGCAAAAGATGCCCTGATGTTATAATGCCCTGAGTT